TCGATATTGCCTCATAACTGCCTCATAAAATTATTGTGAAAATTCAGATGTGGATACCTATAAAGTATTTAGCAAAGACATAGTAAGTACTCAGCAATGTTAATTGTAGTGTTAGCACTAAAGAATGAATACCAATTCCTATAGAACCAGAAGACTTCAATGACCAATGAGATTAGAGCATCAACGATTGTATAAATATTTAGTCTGCAATGAGTTCTCAAATGTGAGTTTACTGACAAGTTACCTTGGGTGCTTATTAAAAACATGGATTCCCAAGACCCAGTAGGTCTGGGAAGGCTGTCCAGGAATCTGTAGTTTTAATTCATGTTCTAGTTGATTCCAGACCACTCAAGGGACACACTTTAAGAAACCTTAGTCTTTCATAAGAGCATGGAATTTAGGTCCCTAACTCTCAGAGAGATAATATGAGATGAGATGTTAGTAAGAGAATATCAAGTTGAAGTAGGAATAAATGATCTAAAGGCTGGAATAAATTTTGCTAAAAAGTGCAAGTTTCAGATGTTTCATGACTCGTTATTTTCTCACTTTCAACTTAGGATGTCTAAACACGGACGAACCATCATCATCTCCATTCATCAGCCTCGTTATTCCATCTTCAAGCTGTTTGATAGCCTCACCTTGTTGGCCTCAGGAAGAGTAATATTCCATGGACCTGCTCAGGAGGCTTTGGGCTACTTTGCATCAGCTGGTAACGTTGTCTTTTTTTTCTGCAGTGAGATCCTCTTTAGTAGAATCTTGAAAGAGAGCAGAGGGGGACGAGAGTACTGTTTGATTGTGGTGTAGACACATTATGGGTTCCACCACTGCAGAACATGTTTGGTCAGTTTGGTGCTAGAATTTTTCTTGATCTTGCAGCACTGGCTTGTTATTTAGGTCTCTTTCTTGTCTTATTTGAGTATGCATGCGTACTGTGTGTGTGTAGGACTGTTTCTACTGGGCTATATCTGTTCTGCTTGCCAGTTCTGGTGACCTTTTCCTAACAGTTCAATAAATATATTGGCTTCATAACCAGTTACCTGTCAGTTGAACATTTTTGGAAAGGCCTAGTACCCCCAAATTATTTTTCTTCTTGACTATATGACAAATCAAGTTTTATTATTATTTTCTCTTGCATGGGATGTTGGACTGACTTTATGAGGGTTCATAGAGATGCTGCTTAATTGTCTAGTAAATTTCGATTGGAGTGGTTATGAGTGACTTACCAGTCAATAGAATGGATACTCCTGAGTTTGACTTTGATAGGCCAACATTTCTGACAGTTCTGGGCTTCCTAGTTCTATTTCAGAAGGAAAGGTATAATATTTTTTTTGGCTTATGCAGTCTACATCATTTTAGAGATATTTAGATATGATTACATATAATGTTCCATGAAATCTGTTTTTGTTGAGTTCCTATGATTTAAAATAACCAAGCATACATGTGTCTGGGTAGTATAGGGGATGTATTTCTAAGAGTTAGAGTATAGGCCAAGATGAGTTCAGATGATCAGGCTCAAGAAGTCAAGGTAAGCCTTCAGGTGTGCCGTGCTGCTCACGTCCTCTTGAGAATTCTGCCCTGATGATTTTTTGGTCTATACTGGAATTACAGCTGCATAATAGAAGATAATCTGGTTCTGAATTTAGTAGGTGGGGAAGCCACCTCCTATAGCGGGTGGTGGCATTCCGGCAGGCCCTGGTGACCTCAGTGCACACCCTGGGCTCCTCCCAAACACAGTCCTGCAGCGCCTCCTCTGGCTTTGCTTAGTGCCTTGCTTTCAGGAGCATTAGCCCTAGTATGCAGCTTTTTAATTTCCTTTTTCAACATATATATTGATTTTCCCATGTACCTAAGTTGCTTTCTTTTGCAGGTCACCAATGTGAGCCCTATAATAACCCTGCAGACTTCTTCCTGGATGTCATTAATGGCGACTCCTCTGCTGTGATATTAAACAGAGAGGATGAAGGTGGTGAAGGTATGTGAATCTGTCCAGAGTCCCAGATTATCGCCTAATTGAATTTGCTGAATAGCAGTATGGAAACTCTTTAAAATGTGCCTTTGTGAATTTGTATAACTAATGCTGCCCTCTGATATCAGTTGTCTTAGTATGTTGGGCCGTTTTAAAAAGAATACTATTGACTAGGTGGCTTAATACAACCAACCTTTATTTCTCAGTTCTGGAGGCCGGGGGCATCCAAGATCAGGCGCCAGCAGATTCGGTGTCTGTTGAGGCCCTGCTTCCTGGTTCATAGGTGGGCGACCATCTTCTCTTTGCCTCCTCCCATGGTGGAAGCAGGGAGGGAACTCCCTGGGTCTCTTCTAAGGGCACTAATCCCATTTAGGAGGGCTCCACCCTCATGATATATTCACTCCTCAAAGGCCCCGCCTTCAAATACCATCACATTGGGGATTGGGTTTCAGTATATGAATTTTGGGGGTTACACAAACATTCAGTCTGTAGCACCAGTTAACACAGATTTTGTTTTCCAATAGTGTTGTGTTTTTGATGTAATTTATAAGTGAGCATTTATCTGATAGTGTCTAAAGGGAGTTTCTGTTTAAAAAAACCAAAACTCATTGTTTATAAAATATTTTGAAATAAGGTTATCATTTTATGCTTTTGCATATAGTATAATGCAAGGATGACATTTTTATTATAACTCCCTATGGTAAGAAGTTTATTTTAAAAGAATCAGGGTACAAATATTATAGTTAGGAAAAAGTCAGCGGGTTTGCTGTATCCATAAGTTTATGGTAGTAGTCAGGCCATTTAACTATATTTTTCTAATGTGCAAGGCAATGATGTATCTAATAATTTTTTTTAATTTTAATTTTAATTTTTAACTGGGGAATTGGGGGAGGGGAACAGTGTCACTGGCCCTCATGTGGGATCCGAACTGGGACCCTGCTGCTCAGAGCTGGTGTCCCAAGCCAGCTCTTAACCAATGTGCCACTCGGTCAGCTCCTCTAATAATTTTTATGCTCAAGCTTTAGAATTAAGTTAGAGCAGAATCTAAGAAAGGGGTTACAGAAAAAAATGGACTAAATCAGTTATTTTGTTAATGTTTTCCTCTATCCACTTTTATCCCAAAGCCAAGGAGACTGAAGAGCCGTCCACGAGAGAGAAGCCACTTGTAGAAAAATTAGCGGAGTTTTATATCAACTCCACCTTCTTCAGAGAAACAAAAGCTGAATTAGATCAACTCTCAGGGGTTCAGAAAAAGAAGAAGAGTGTAGTCTTCAAGGAGCTCACCTATGCCACCTCCTTCTGTCATCAACTCAAATGGATTTCCAGGCGTTCATTCAAAAACTTACTGGGTAATCCCCAGGTCTCCAAAGCTCAGGTAAACTGACAGATTCTTCTAATTATGCTGTGAAATGCTCATGTGGGAGCATTAGATTCTCCCACAATCTATTTTAGGATAATGCTTATCTTCTATCCACCCTTCTACTTATTTAACCCCACTCCATTTGAAATATAGAGACAGTCAATAGTACAAATAAAATACAATTACATTTTTACATATAGAAAAAAATTTCAAAGTGGTTTTTGAACTATGTAATTCAGAATTTATGTTGATTTAGACAAGCTCTAATAGATCATCTTTGTAGAGAAAATTGCTTTTCAAAAATAGTGCAGTAAAGGAATTGCTTTGCCCCATTTGGGTCTTTCTGGCAGCTGCACACGTTCCTTTCCTGATTTATTCAACAAGTTTCTTGATCATGTGCTACATTTGAAAGCTTGTACATAGCAGTAAACACAATGGGTAAAACTAAACATCCCTGCTCTCCTGGAGCACATTTTTTTATGCGGAGGGACAGCTGATAAATTCATACAGAAATAAAGTATGCAGCATGGCAGAAGGTAAAAGGGGCGATGGAAAAGTTTAAGTAGAGAAGTGGAGAAAGGAAGAGATAAAGAGAGAGAAGGAAAGAAGTTGGGGGAGGGAGACAGCTAGAAAGGTTTGGTTTGCATTTTAAATCAGGTGGTCAGGGAAGACTTCACCTAGATGTCAGTGATTGCACCTGAATGGCGGAGGGGCCGGCTGATGTCTGAGGGAAGAGCCTGTGTGCAAATGCTCTTCCTATAATTGACCTTCCTCATTTAGGGATTCTGGTCTTCAGGGAGCAGTAGGTGCCTAAAACAGTTTGCAGTCAACAAGAAAGGCAGTAAGCAAGGTTGACTTCTGTTAAATGAAGCTGTTATTCACTGTCAGATTAACTTTCTCTTCATTAAGATGAAATAATGTTCTTTTCCTCTTTTGGCTGGCTCTGTTGATAGTTGTTTATTATCACTCCTTATGGATTTTCTGTAATTGTGAAGCCCTCTGTCCTACACAACCTAGTATTGCCAGTTCACTGGTCATCCTTTCTAAGTAAATCAATTTAGCCCGTTATTTTGGGGGTTGTTAATTTTATTATCAATCATTGAATTTCTGTTGACTATCAAAAGAAGGCATGAAGTTGGCTCTATAACTGACTTCTTATCACATGCACCATAATGTTCATACTTCAGTACTGTTGCTTTCTAAGTATTAATATTGAGACCCTAGATCCCTCTTTGAGATGTACTGCTAATTGCTCCAAACATTTTGGGGACTTGTTATTTGACATTTCTTTCAGAACCTGAGCACTTTAGTGTACTATCAGTCAAGGGTAAATTTTTGTTCTTTTAGAGTAGATTTGATGTCTGGAAAGAAGTCTAGTAAATCATGTCAACCTGGTTACCCATTAGTCAACAGTGGGATGATGTAATGGAGTTGACAGTGTGATTCATGCATTAGATTTTTTTACTTAGAAAATAAATTTCTGTCTAAAAGTGGTTCATGAGTGACCTGTCCAAGTCACATATTTGGTAGTTCTGAGCAGGGCATGATTAGAGTGTGGAAAGATTTCTAATACACCACGATTCTGCATCTTTTGTGCTCGGCTTCCTTCAACTGCAAACCCCAGGCCTAGTGCCTCCAGGTTGCATGTTCAGCCTACTCACCTCCTCAGTGAACTGAGTTCGATCAAAAGAATT